CTTTTTTCGGCTCCTTGAATGTATAAAATGTAAAAATAACCAAAAAATATATAATTCTGAGCAATGTACAGACAAAACTCTAATTCTTTTTATATAGATGGATATGCAACTGCAAACTGTATTGTACATTTTTCCAGACAGGGATTATAGAATAAAGCAACTTTATATTTCAATCAAGTATATTAAGTATCATTCAGAAAAGTAGTTACAAAATTATATGTGAAAGATAATATGGGTTTCACAACGTAAATATTGAGGAAGACTTAAGATATTGCAATCATTAAATAAAACTATGAACATTGAACAACTGCCATGAAATGTTAAAAGGAGTCACATCCACAACTAAATATAGTTACCAAACAAATAAATAAATAACAATAAATAAACACAATAAGTATTGTTAGCACTTACATTCTATGCATATAGTAACATTTCTCCTTAGGCCTAATAATAGTTGTTACAATCAATAATTAGTGTGGTGTTAACAAGTTAATTTTTTAATTGACTACATATTTTTTACATTCTTACGGTAAGTGAAGTGGATGCAGAATTTACATTCAGATTTCTATTCAAAGCTTATGCTTGTTATCTTTGAACTTTGTCGAAGACTCCAATATTCATTTCTTGTTAACCCTTAAAATTCTCTTTACTTAATGCACTCTTTGTCTTATATTCTTTTCATTGTAATGTAATACAATGTACTAAATTTTTGGGCACAAATAGTGCAAAAAATTGAAAATAAGTTTTTTTTATATTTGAAATTTAATAACAATACAATGAAAGTTTGTGGTGAAAGTAAAAATAATTAATCCATCCAAACGAGCATATGCTTAATATTTGGATCTACTAAGAACTTATTTGAACCTTTACTGCATCAAACATGTAATTTTATTTGCTGGATTAATACATCCTACTAATATTATAAATGAGAAAGTTTGGATGTATGGATGTATGGATGTATGTTTGTGACAAGTGAACGCGAAAAATACTGGTCGGATTGGGCTGAAATTTGGCATGATGATAGCTCACATTCCCGATTAACATATAGGCATATTCTTATTTCAAAAATCCTTTCGGGCTCCGCCCCAGTGGCTCTGGAGTTTCCCATGTTAACCTTATGAGAAATGAAATTATTGAATCTTAACAGCTGTTTCAATTAAACAAGTTGGTTCTGTTCTGTGATGTTCAATAGCATTAAAGTTACAAAAATTACCAACAGGGTGCAGCACTATTATTTCTTTTACATTTATGACAACAGCTAATTTGCAACCAAAAGGTGAGTGAGCGTAGCGAACGAACTTCAACCTGGAGGCGAGTTAGCGTAGCGAACGAGCTAACCTGAAGGCAAGTGAGTGCAGCGAACGAGCTCCAACCTAAAGGTGAGTGAGCGTAGCGAACGAGCTCCAACCTAAAGGTGAGTGAGCGTAGCGAACGAGCTCCAACGTAAAGGTGAGTGAGCGTAGCGAACAAACTTCAACCAGGACGTGATTGAGCCATGCGAACGAGATAATCTTGAAAATTAAGAAGTTAAACGGGGCAAAGCCCGCGGGTTACAGCTAGTAAAGACATAAATGCAACTGGTATTATGTTTAGTTTGCACGTTTGCTGCTTAAAAAATTATTACATTACCAATTATTAAGAGGTATTATAGGCACTTTTTGTGTTTACGGACCTAATAGGACAATGACAATTAAACCTCCATGGAACCTAAAGTCTATACTTTTTAGATGTAAAACAATTTGACACGCATTATTCTGGCACCCACATAAAGAGACCTAAAAAAATAGTATACTTCATACAAGAACCGAAAGTAACATTTCTATGTGTATGCTCAAGTTTCATGTGTGAGGAAAGATAAAAACACTGGAACATTACATTTCACGTGCTAGGTGAAGCTAAGAATGTGAGAATGAGTTTCACATACTACGCTAAAACAAGGACAGGAATAATTGGAGCTAGTGTCCAAAAAATCACTTTTGGTTCAAGTTATGAACAATGCTTTTTATCACAATGTAAATTCCAATTTCGTTTACATTTAGATTGTTCAGTAAACACTGCTTGTTTCAATTATAATAATAATTATAGTGAAGTGAATGCGTACTGGGGAGCGATCTGTTCTAGTGGTAGAGCGGCTCCGCCCGAGGTCCCGGGTTCAAATCCCGCCAATTCGCAATGGATTTTATCTATGCTATAATGCCACCACCCTCTAGAACTAGCCTGAAGTAATGTGTAAACAGTTACGGGCTGGAACATAGCGTCCTAGGAGGTGGGACTTAAAAAAAATGCATAAAAACCAGGGCACGTAGTGGACAAAAGGAGAACTGATTAAGAATACAAATCAGCTGATTGCTTCTCCCTTGCTTTTAATTATAGCTTTGGAAACAATAATTTTCTTTGATATCAGCTGTTATCGAAAATAGCTACTTTCTGTACAAAGTGATGAAAAGACCATTCCTCTTATTTTCTCCCAAGTTTCTTACCTATATTGCAAAACGTAAATCAATGAATGTAAATTCTGAGGCACACAATTTTCTAGACAGAAAGTCAACATGCAGTAAACTCTCATAAAGAACAACAGGAAAAGCAGTCTATCTGTATATCGTGAGCAATTCTAAGGCGGAGCTAGTGCGAGTGATTGTGCAGTTAAACTTGTGTCGGTTCTTGAACTGTTTACAGCCAAAAAAATGTCATTGTTGCAACACCAAAGACGTTTAAGAACACGTTTTAGTCACAAAGTGCCAGTTTCAAAAACAGTTCAGGAACCATCAAAATGCTATGTAAGCATCTAACTCATTGTTAACACAGAATACTTAACTACTTACAATCTTAGTAATTTACTACCAACAAATTAAATACCAAGAGTGAATATTTGACTGGTTAACAGATTAGTTATACTCAATACTATTATCTACACCTAAGTATTTAATAATTGAATAGTAAAAATAAAACTTTGATAAATATGCGCTAGTAAAAATATATATGTTATATCCTAAATATATTTTGTAGTTAAACACTTACAAGGCAAAAATCAAATTATAAAAGTCTGTTACACTGTACACAAACATTTTTGTTAACTTCACAACTCAATTAAATATGGTGTACACAACTAAAACTAATGATTAGACAAAATTTTCAAAAATAGAACAACCTTTTTTGTCGATGTTGATGACAAAATTGATTTATTAAATTCGTTGTTAATCAGTGTTAGATTTCAATATATATAAATTAAAACTACTTTTGGTTATAAATGTAAATAAAAACAGAACACATTAAAACAAAAATTTCACTATCAAATTCGAAATTGAAAGGATTAACAACACATAAAATCTGTATACACAACATAAAATAAATGAACACAATCACACATCGATCCATAACTTGACAGTGGTCAAAGTTTTGGATCAATAAAAAGTTAGTAACGAACCAATAGAGTTGATTAGACTTTGAGATGATAGTAAGATGAAGGATATTGATAAGAATATTTATCTTCACCATCAAACAACCAATAATACTGCTTAATTCAATGACAAATGCACAAACAGATGCCATTACAGGTTATGACACGAAGGATTACGATCTACATTTGTCTTTAAACTTTGATTAATAGTCAACAACTAGACTTATTGTGGTATGAATAATTCAAATTCTAAGAAAATAGTAATGAAATTATAATATCTAGCTAAATAATGCCCGACTAAGTAGGGGAATTT